TGGAGGAGAAGAGCAGTCTTGGAGGTGAGTAACTGACTTCTGCAGTCCTTTTGGAGTGCGGAGATTAGAGACCTGTTCTGAGTGAGCTCGGAGCTAAATCTGGTTCCGTAGAAGATGGGCCTGAACTTGGTGGACGAATGGGTAGATCCAAAAACAGGGACTCCAGGGTGAATGATCAAAGGTGAACATGTATGATTGTGGAAGATCAGACTGGCTTGGCTAATAGAGGGATCAATTATGTCATCCCCTATCTGTTCCTTAATTTGTTCCAGAGAAAGTTGAACCAGTGACTGGTGTGAATGCTAATACTCCAAGCAGTGAACTAGTAGCCTTGGCTCCTGCCCCATCTGCACCCCCTCCTACACTAGCCATGGTGTCCAGACAAATGGGTGACTCAAAACCTCCACAGGCCATCGTGAAGCCCCAGATTCTCACCCACATCATTGAAGGCTTCGTTATCCAGGAAGGAGCAGAGCCTTTCCCGGTGAGGGCAGGGCCATAAGGTGGGACTTTCAAGTGGGGACTTGGTCTGATTATTATCTTTCCAAAGTCCACTAAAATCAAGTCTCAGAACCATTTAATTATTCGAGAATGGTTCAGTTCTGTTGTTTGTATGGTTAATTGTAAAGAAGGAAGGGAAGGGGGAAAGGAAAGAATATGTGTAGACCAGCAAATGAAAGTGTTGGGAAGAGAAGGAAGAAGCTATAATGTTTAGTTACACAAACTAGGCTGTATTATAATGAAGAAATTTGTGGTAGAGAAGTTAAGGGACTTTTCTAGATACTAGGAGTTGCAGAACTAGGACTAGAACAACAGGTATCTGCAACTTCGGAAGGAAAAGGACAAGCTAGAGAGCCAAGGTAGGAAACTTTTCCAATGGCTCATCTGAAAAGAGCCAGTTAGGGCCTCTTGATTGCCATGTTGAAAAATGTTTCTCTAAACCAGACTTGGCCATTAACTCCGAGAACCAGGCAAAGGCATGGCGGTGAGAAATAACTGGGGAAAGTTATAGAGAAGCAGAAAGGGACTAGGCTAACCTAACTGTAAACTTTTTCTGGCACAGGTGGGTTGTTCTCAGTTACTGAAAGAGTCTGAGAAGCCACTACAGACTGGCCTCCCGACAGAGCTGAATGAGAATCAGTCAGGGGGCCCCTTGGGAGGGGACAGCCCATCTGCTGGTAAGTATTTAAATAGAGACCCATCTGGGGAAGGAGGCTCAGGGAGATGTGTTTGAGGACTCGGTGTAAAATGGTAATTATTTAAAGTGGGAGGTATACAAAGTCCATCCACACACAGGAACTGTATTAAATATCAGAATGTGTAGAATCACACAAAAGGAGTTCCCTATCGGATTAGGGTGATTTAACAAGCCAACCTGAATTTTATTTACTTGTTTACTGTAAGGATGTATTTTTCAAAAGATGATCTAAAATAGTATATTTCTTAATTTCCATTTCTCCTTATTCTAGGTTTTATAATCTATATTAAGGTCTCTTGTTTACATTTCTCCCACTGCTTTTGTAAACTTTTGTTGGGAGAGGGATCCTGTATCTTTCTAGTTAGTAATTAGTTCCTCTCTCCTATTCTGAATTGCAGTCTTGTCTGCAGTCTGAGAGTATGAATTGGGATAATCAGTCATCGAAAATGGAAACTAGGCTGGTTTAAGTCAGGAAGACCATGCTGTTCTTGAGGGATGTGTCTTTATGGTTTTGGATTTTGAGCTTTTTGTTTGAGGGATTCTGAATTAGGTTGTGTAGGTCTTGGGGGGCAAACCCTGAAAGTAATTAGAGTCAGCTGTGGGCCTAATGATGGCCCAAGCGGCAGCAGTACCAGTGACAAGTCTCCAGGGATGCCTTGTTTTCCAGAGCTAGATAAGAAGGCAAATCTCCTGAAGTGTGAGTACTGCGGGAAGTATGCTCCTGCTGAGCAGTTTCGCGGCTCCAAGAGGTTCTGCTCAATGACCTGCGCTAAGAGGTACCATGGGCACCCACCCTCCCTTCCTCACCTTCAGCACCAGCTTCTCCATCTAACAGTGGGCCCCTTCCCTAGGATCACCTCACAGCTGATGTTTCCCGTCTTCTTTGCTTTCGTGTTCTTCCCCGAGTCGGTACCTAAAATACCAATTCCCATGTAGTGAAGGCTAGCCAGGTGGTTGTCTCTGGCACCGCTGACATCCCATATATGCCCCGACCCGTAGGTATAATGTGAGCTGTAGTCACCAGTTCCGGCTGAAGAGGAAAAAAATGAAAGAGTTCCAAGAAGCCAACTATGCTCGCGTTCGTCGGCGTGGACCCCGCCGTAGCTCCTCTGACATCGCCCGTGCCAAAATCCAGGGCAAGCGCCACCGGGTGAGCGTCTTTTGCAGAGCCAGCAACTTTTAAAATGGTCCTTTTTCCTTCCTCTTTCCCTACGGGGCAGTTCCTTTGCCCCGGTAAAAGAGTGTGAGACCAGAACTCTTGAGTTTTGTATTGATGGCATTACTCCAAATTCCAAGAGATCCTGACTCCTTGTCTCTTCTCACCTGATTACTGGTTCATGTGTCCATTAATCATTACATTTGACAAAATCTAGATTACGATTCTTGGAAGAAGGGGAGAATCAAGAAAGTGATAGTTTATACTTCAAAGTTACTTGAGAGTGGACTAGTGACTCCGGGCATTTGCAAAGTACAGTTTCTTCACTGTAATACTAGTTTCTCCTCTATGCCCAGTATTAACCCGAACCCAGTTGACTGGGAAGGGGCGAGGGAAAGAAACCTTCTGACACTTATTCATGACCTCACTGCTTTGTGTTGTTCTCCGTAGGGTCAAGAGGACTCTAGCCGGGGTTCAGATAATTCCAGTTACGATGAAGCACTCTCTCCGACATCTCCTGGGCCTCTATCTGTGCGAAGTGGGCATGGAGAACGTGACCTGGGGAACCCCAATACAGCGCCACCGACGCCGGAATTACATGGCATCAACCCTGTGTTCCTGTCCAGCAATCCCAGCCGTTGGAGTGTAGAAGAGGTGTATGAGTTTATCGCTTCTCTACAAGGTATTGAGGGCCTATCCAGTAGAACCCAGATCACATACAGGTTTACTTTTCTTTAGATTATCCCACATGGGCCTTTGTGACAGGGAACAGAACTAGAACTGACTTTTAAGCAGTAGGGGCTTAAGTATGGTTATGACGAAGGCTCTATTCATATTTACCCAGGTTACTTGCCCACAGCCTGGTTTCTTAATTTCCTTTTGGGCTGATTGTCCTCTACTATGTCAGCAATCTTGCAATGTTTGATTTTCACTTTTATATTTCTTACCAATAATTTTGGGATAAAGTATGTTTTTTATATGTGATTTTGTGATACCAGACATAGATAAAAGACTGTTTCCACTAAAGGGATTAGGAAAGTAGGGGCCATCGTTACCCCCCACTCTTCCAGGCAGGATTGTTTGTAAGCTGTTCTTGACAAAGGATGGTTTTCTCCAGAAAAGAAAATCACCTTACCCTTTTTGCCGTTTGTCTGAATTCTCGACCCTTAAACAAAGATGCCCTATAGGCTCTGAACTTTTGATTTTTTTGCTACTGGGAAAGAAAACATGCGGTCTTGCTCCTTCCCTTTTCTCCCTCAAGCTATTTGAATGAAGTTATTTCTGTGATTGAACAACTTTGTTCTTCTTTCCTCTTGGCTTTTTTACATAGCCAGTTTCTCGGATTTCATTTTACTTCCAAAGCTTCCCACCTGAGACTTTTATATTCCTGAATTTAGGATGAGTACTTTGGGATTAACCACTGCTGGGTCTCCATTTTTTCATCTTGAGTTTCCCCCTCCTATCCTCTGGTGCCACCACCTAGTTTCTCATATGTATTCCCACCATTTCCTTCTAGGCTGCCAAGAGATTGCAGAGGAGTTTCGTTCCCAGGAGATTGATGGACAGGCCCTTTTATTACTTAAAGAGGAACATCTTATGAGTGCCATGAACATCAAGTTGGGCCCTGCCCTCAAGATCTGCGCCAAGATAAACGTCCTCAAGGAGACCTAAGGTGGCCCTCTTGCACAAACGAGCCGAAGGCAGACACTCTCCACTGTCCAGGTTATAACCTGGTACCAGCAGACTCTACAGGGAAGAAAGAGCTGTTCCAATTACGTAAATCTGAGACAGGGAAGAAAAGTGCAAGAATTTGTTGCTGGTGCTACATGGCGGCAGCTGTGACATTTTCTCTGGTTCTACCTTATTTTTTAAAATCATTACAGTTCTCACTTTTCTCACCTACCCTAATCTAATCTTTATAAAAGAGGCAGTCTAGGGAACTAGGACTGCTCAGCCTTATCCTGGAGTGGAGTATCTAGCCAGGGTCTCAGTTCTCCAAGAGGAGGAGTAGACAGTATGGTAAGGTAAGGAAGTGGGTGGGACGTAGGTGTGCCTCCACAACGGGAGAGGTAGGGTTCTTCTAGCTTGTGTGACACAAGTTTAGTGACATCTGGTACTCCCTCTCTTCCCTCTGGATTGCCCAACTGCGGCTGTGGCCCAGAGTTTTCTTTGTTGTCGCTCCCTTAGTACTGAACGTCTTCTCCTGCATCCATGGCAGAGTCACTCGCTGGTGCAGAGACTTGGCTGGCGTCATTCTGATTTGCTGCAGGGGCTAAAAGGTGTGTGGCACATATGTGGCTGTCACTCTTTCCGCATCCCCCTGCTCCCTTCAGTTTCCCTGTTGTGTCTCCTACCCTGCCTTTCTTTTCAATTCAGCTCTGCTCTGTCCTATAGCTTTACTAAAACGAGAGTGTGTGGGGCTGAGGTCAGGAGTATAAGTACCTGCCTTAGGCGCTATTCCTTATACAACAAAAATATTAAATATTTTTTTCCTCCTCAGTAAAAGGATAAAAATTGGTCTCAGTTGTCTCTTACTCCATTCCAGTGTCTCTGTCCTCTTCTTTCATACAAAAGACTAGGGCAACTTGTTTGTTTGTTTTTTTAATCTTTTACATGTTTTTATACAAAAAATGTTTTTTTTTTGTTTTGCATTTTTAAAACTGGGGGAGGGATGCAAACAACAAAAAAGATGTTTTTATAACATTATTTTCCCTGTTTAGAAAAGAAGAAAAAAAAATCATTCCAATAGTATTTAAAAGTCCAAAGATGAAATAATTTCATTTTCTTCCCTAAAGGCTATTTAAAAAGCCCCTGCCTACTGATTCCATCCTCTTGTGTCCAGTGGAGCCATGTTACTCTTCAATGGCCCAGGTTCACTATTACAGAAAGATCAGGCCAGGCTTCTGGGCACATGGTCTAAACAAAAAAGTGGAAGCATCAGAGGATTCAAAACCTTTCCCCACAGAAACTGCTGTGGGCAAGATACTTCCCTGAGCCAGAAGGGACAGGTACAGCAGCATTCCACACCCAGAGCACAGGATGGCAAAGCCCTAGATGTCCCACCTCTGCTTTCATTCCCTTTCCAGAAGATTGGGGAAGGGGAGCGGGGGGAAGTCGACATGCCTGTGAAGAAAGTGCAACACATTTAGAAATACGGGTAAGGGGAAACAGCTTAGAAGAAAAGCTTTGCCAGCTTTTACTGCAAGTGGGAGAAGAAAGCCATCGAGGAGATCCCACTACAGGTAAACAGACTTCCTTTTCTGGAACCCCTGTAGCACAGGAGGTCCAATTCACTTTCCCTTTCCAATGGACTAGACTTCTGGATAAGGCATTTTGGCCACATATGGACCAATGACCACGAGCCCACAATCCAGGGCCCAGTTGCAGCTATAAGGTCAATCCAATGCCAACAACTGAGGTGATGGTATTTTATAATCCTCTAAGTGGGAAATTAAAACATTTTCCCCATCCTAATCCCAGAGGTGGGAGAAGCAAGTCTGCAACATCTCCAGGCTCAGACCAAATGGCAATACTTGGAATGCAACCAAGTAATCACCACCGAGTAGTTACAAGCAGCAAGAAATTACATCCAGATTCTCATGGAGACTACTGTAGGGTACAGAGTAACAGCATGAAAGCAATCAAACCTTGTATAAATAATGTTGCTTTGCCTTTTTTTTTTTTAATTAAAGAAATCCAGTGTCTCAAAAACTTGTGAAAATGTGTTTAAAAAAGGAGCCTGCCACACTTTTTTGCTCACTGTAACTATCCTACTTGTACCTTTGATACCAAGAGATAGTGTAATAGCCTCTTCTGCACAGGCCCTATTTTATCTCTGTCCTACAACTGTACTCTCTAGAGGAAAAACAAAATAGGGAACAAAAGGAAGGCATTTCTACTAGTGAGAAGAGAATACAAATCAAAAGCAAACTGGAAAGCAAGAGCAATGTTAAGGGTGGGATGAGAGACTGGAATGGAGACTGCTTAAGAAATCTGGCTGAGTATGCTTTGGTTTGGGGGACTGAAGCAGCAGCTGGGCATTTAAAGTGCAATCACATTGGTAATAAATGATCATCCCTTTCTTCTGACTCCTCCCCCAGCTGATCGTCCCCCACACCACGATATGCAGCAGGCACATTTCGGGGTTTAGAACGGCACACAAAGTCACAACCATCCTGCAGAGAGAAGCAAAGGAAGGAAATGATAAATTGGAATAACCAACTTCGAGGGTGAGACAAAATGTACCTATGGTCTAAGAATATGACAAGAACTAGGTTTCTTCAAGGAAGATGAAGAGAAAATCCAGAAGCTCTAAGGATCAGCCTAAATTGAATTTAGGGCTAACGGGAGAAAAATTCTAATTAGGTCTTTCTTTCTCCCCATCCAGGACCCTATTTAATAGCTTTATCATATTCCTCAATTTAAGCAACAGTGTTGCTCTTCCAGCCAAGTCTTTAGCAAGGCCAGACACCAAGATGTTACTTTGTACCAGGGCCAACAAGTACTTTGTACTTGGTTTGCTGGGACTTCTGTGGGTTTAGCACCAAAGTCCTATGTCCTCGGAAATCCCTCAGTCTGGGTAAACCAGGATGGTTGGTCATTCAACCTTGCCCGCAGGCTACAGACTCAGCCAGCAGTCCTATTACTTACTGCTACCAGGTTGCCAAGATCTTGCCAGAAGGCTAAGTGGGGAAACTGCTCCATTCCCTTGGCTCCCACCACCAATCGCTGGTATAGGAACCCCCCGATGATGTAGACCGCAACCAGTGATGCAAACCTATGAGGAAGAAAAACATCTCTACTTAAAAACCAAGGAATAGTAAAACTCTGATAATAAAGATGATCTTTTATTCATTAGTGGTTTCCCAGTCTATATTCTATAAAAATGGGGGAAAAAAAAAAAACCAAAGCAGGAGGGTACCTTCTTTAGAAAAGCAATTAGAGCACTAAAAGCAAAGGCTCAGACAAAAATAAGACCTAGTGTGTGACTCTTAGAGCCAAGAATAGGTACTATTAGCTGTATAGTTCCATTTCTCCAAAAGTTATTATAATCTAATGGGATAGTATTAAAAACTGTCCAGTCCTCCAGTAATGGAATATGAAGCATTTCCAAATGCAAATATTTATCAGGGGTGAAACATTAGATCTAATTTTTTTAAGCTTGCATAATCAAGAGTTTAAAGAGGATTTTCACAAAGTTTCCCACCTCCAATTATGGTATAGTGCGTGCACACACACAAACACGCAGAATTTGTGTCGAAATATCACCAAGTAATTGAGTTTAAGGAAAAAATAAAAAAGGAAGGTTTTGGATTGATAAGGGAAAAAGCACTCACGTGACTAGTAAGATAGAACCCACACTGAGGTGGGAGATCTCTGGGGAACAGGCCAGGCTGCTATCCATCTCAAAGAGGTAGAAACAATCTTGAACTTTGCCTCGCTCCTCAGACACAGGGTTAAAATTGCCCTGATGAAGGACAGAACACAACGCTTATGTGGTAAACTGTTTCCTTTTGACCCTTACTTAGAAAAGAAAAAACCCACAAGCTAAAAAAGCATTTGCTTTCTCTTGGTTCAATAACTTATTTTCCACGTATGATGGAAGACGGGTGCCTGTGACACAAGGAAAAACTGAACTTCTAGTTTTCTCCTATCCATCCCGCTGTATCTTGTCCCCTCTGGAAATTCTCTCCCACCTCAGGCCAGTCCTGTCATCTGTTCTCTAGGCTCGTGTGCCCCAGGACGCCTCACCGCTAGCGTGTGTCGATTGCAGGAGATCATCACCACTGCACGACGCTGCTCCATGCCACAGTGACTGTCATATTCGTCACCCCCTTTATAGATCAGCATGATCCAATTACCTGAGGAGGGACAAGGGAAATGTTGCTTTGGGGTGGGGGGAAAAGCAGAGGCAGGCCTGGGTACAATGGTAGAAAGGCACTGAGGAGTTCAATGAAATTGGTCTTAATTAAAATAACCAGTATCAATATGAGCTCTGTAGAACAGAAATACCAAGCTAAATCCTGCTTCTTTGTAACAGCTCTGTGTTCCCTTAAGACAACTAAGAATCAGATATTCATATAAGAATAATCCTAATTTTCCACATTAAAGGCAGGCAACTGATAGTACAAAAACAATTAGGACCCATACTCTGACACGGGTTCACATTTTCTGAACACCTGCTAACATCAGAAGAGGTTCCATAAAATTCTTAGGTGGCAGAGCAAAACCTAAGATTTAAAATGAGCCACAGATAAATGCAATGTGGATGATTTTTAAGATCGGGAGCTATTTCTTCTTTAGTATTTATGGCATTCAACTTTCTTTTGCAAAATATCCTTTGATTTATCAATCACGTGAGGTGAATAAGGTAAAAATTCTTCTAATCTTGCATATGAAGAAACACAAGAAGATGAAATGATTTTTCAAAGTCACAGGACAAGTAAACATGAGCTGGGTAAAAAAAATCCAGTCTTCCAATCCCTACCCCCAAACTCTTGATGTTATTTTTCATTATATTATTGATATGAACAAATATTTGCACTGGAAAATACAGTTATCTGCTTAAGGGAGGGAATCAGACCACAAGTGCTCATAGTTCTTTCCAGCAATATGATTTTATGACTTTGAGAAACCTAATCACCATAGCACAAGTTGGTTGGGGAAGTTTTTGTAGACTGGTTTGCAAAAAAGCTTAATGTCTGAAAATATAACTGGCAAAACTGGACTAATTCGATGAGAAATGGTCGTTGTTGCTATGTTCAAGTCTGGTGTGAAAAACACATGAAGCTACAGAATCCCAGCTAGATTCTTCTTTATGCATGAGCTTTTCATTAACTTTAAAACAAACACATAAAGGTCCTGAGCCATGCTCCAGAGGAGCTCTGTTAGTCTCAGGTGAGCTGAAGCACATGTACCATACGATACTCAGAAGAGAATGGAAAAGGCTGACACAGGACTGTCAGAGGAATTGACATGGGATCAATTAATCAACAGGGAGAGTCTTACTTCCATTGAAGATGTGAGTCTCGTTGAGTCTCCCTACCACTGTCTCCTTCCCGTTACTTTTGTTGATCTGCACCAGGCCTGCCCCAGAGGTGCGGTTGCCAGCTTCCCGGCACACCCTGAACATGTAGATGTATGTGTCTGGGCCCTGGCCCACAGTGCTCTCAAAGCTGTAAGGAGAAGTGAGGAGAACAAAGCAAGAATTACTGGCTATCAGCCTAGGACAAGCAGCCTCTCTTCCTTTAAGCTGCCCGCTCCCCCCAAGTGTGATCAGTTTATTTATCTGATGTCACAACTAAATGTACTAGTGAATAATATTTGTTGATCATGAGATATCCATGTAATAGTGAATAGTTTATTTGTTGAATGAGACAATCTTAACTACTGATGATGACTGATTAAAACAACATCCAAGACAGCTAGATATTCTAGAATACCTATTCTAGACCATGCTGAAGTGTCAGTTGCTATTTCCCTGTGAATAAGGATCTATGTTCATGGGAAATATCCCATGGTCCCTTGTTCTTTGAAGATTATCTTCAGATTTATATACCCGAAGATTCCTGACACTTATGATGTGTATAGGCCTCAATGTTTATCTGATACTTCTAAACTCCTATTATATGGAAGTACCAAATAATGCTTTTTAATTCCTACAAGGTGGTCTCCTGGATCCAGTCTTGAAAACAGTTACTCTTCTGCATAAGAGAATTGCACATTGCTACTAAAAACTGGGTTGAGAATTTGCTCTATAGCATAAAAAAAAGTAGGGGTGCCTGGGTGGCTCAGTAGGTTAGGCGTCCGACTCGATCTAATCTCAGGTCTTGACCTCAGGGTTGTGGATTCTAGCCCTACATTGGACTCCACGCTGGGCATGGAGCCTACTTAAAAAAAAAAAAAAAAAATGAAGATACTATGGCCAAATAAGGCCAGTATTACTGAAGTTCAGATTAGAATCGTTTCCCAGAGGAGGTTATTATACATGTATTCCCTCCACATAGAGTAGTAATACTAAAATAAAGTAAGTGGAGGGGAAAAAAAATTTTTTTTAACATTTTATTTATTTATTTAAAAGATTTTATTAGACAGAGAGACACAGCGAGAGAGGGAACACAAGCAGGGGGAGCGGGAGAGGGAGAAGCAGGCTTCCCGTGGAGCAGGGAGCCCAACGTGGGGCTCGATCCCAGGAACCGGGATCATGACCTGAGCCGAAGGCAGACGCTAACGACTGAGCCACCCAGGGGCCCCAAGATTTTATTTGTTTTAAAAGTGTCTCTACCCAATGTGGGACTCAAACTTACAACCCCAACATCAAGAGTTGCATGCTCCACCAACTGAGCCAGCCAGGCGCCCTGGAGGAAAAGATTCTTTTAACAAAGTTATTTTCTCAAGCCCTTCAAAGCTCTTCTCATCTACCTTTTGTTATACAGCGGTTGCAGCCTCTTCAGTAGAGCCAACTCTTTCTCGGACTCTCGACCTTTTTCTCCCACCAGATCGCAGGTTTTTTCTTCTGTCTGCCAGGATTCTCTTACTACCACAGCTAGGAGCAGTGGCAGGAGCAGTCCAGTCCTCCAGCAGCTGCAGAAGGGGAACATCCTTTTGGGAGAGGGGGTGTGGGTGTTGAGGAAGCGGCAGAAGATCAGGAGAGGGGGGAAAGAGATAAAGCACAAGAATGTGTCATCTTTACAGTTTTATCTTCCATCCATCACTTATTTTACACTAGTCAGTTCTCCTCATCACGAATTTGGGTTTTATTTTCTTGTGTCTATTTCAAGCTTTTAGCTTTCACCCATTATTTTTCCCCCGTTCTTTAATATTCAGAATAGGATTCATAATCTTTAGGTTTCTCTTTTTCTTTTTATTTATTTTTAAAGATTTACTTATTTATTTTGAGACAGAGAGTGCAAGCATCTTTACTGTTTTGTGAAAAGTCAGACTGCAGTATCTCATAAAGTTTAATACTAGTTCATAAAAACTGCCTCAACCTGCGGTCCTCCCTAAGATAACAATGAAATTATAATACTTGATAAAGTCTATTTAAAGTTATTGAGAAAGATGTAAGATAGGGAAAGGGACTTCAGTACTTTGGATCCTAACTTCTCCTATCAATAGTCAGGAGCATCCAACAGTCTTTGTTCATATTCACCATAGGAAAGATGACTAGAGATAAACACAGCCATAGCACCTAAAAGTTGACATTTATCTACTTTAATGGCTCATCTCTGAAAACACATTCAATCATTTAAATTATAGGAAGAAGAAAATTCACTAGGTCAAAGTGAGTGAAGACGTCTTCCAAAACCCACCTCAGGCTCTACATGTCACAAATCTTAATAGTTTCTCAATTTCCAGTAAGCAGAGCTGTCTTTGTACACTCAGAACTGGTAACAATTCTTGGGAATCACTAAGTCACTTTCCAATTCACCTGCTCCTTGTACTGCTCTAGGAATGGAAACACATGGCTCCACTTCCCAAACTCATTTTCTTTTCTCTAATCCATCCTCACACCCAGGACATATTGATTTACCCTTGCAAAAGACTTCACTCTGATGTCCATTAGTTAATGATCCCCCAGGCCATTGCTACTTGTTAATTTCCTAACAGTGTCACTGTTATCATACACAGATTTAATTCTTCCAAACTTTTCTCACTTGTAGTAACATGCTTCCAGACTACAAGCCTGGACTTTGGTTAATACTCTTTAAAATCCTCTAATTCTTTTTCAGGCTGTTTCATCAACTCCCGTGCATTTCTAGAATATAAAACTAGGCAGAGTTTAATGGGTACTAGTAAGTTTAAAAATAGGAAAATGGAAGCTCTGAGCTCTGAATTTTCTCTACTCCCCTAAACAAACTTACACTTGACCTTCTGTTTTCTACACTCCACTAGGGCAACAAATGCTTGGGAAGTTGTCTCCCTGACTTTGTGTATTTCTTTCTTTTTTTAAGATTTTATTTATTTATTTGACAGAAAGAGACACAGCGAGAGAGGGAACACAAGCAGGGGGAGTGGGAAAGGGAGAAGCAGACTCCCCATTGAGCAGTGAGCCCTACACTGCCGATCCCAGGATGCAGGGATTATGACCTGAGCCGAAAGGCAGACACTTAACCGACTGAGCCACCAGGCGCCTCAACTTTGTGTATTTCCAAAATCAACCCACTATAGTAGTATTAATAAAGTCCACAGAATAATTATCGCCAGTCACAAAATCTGAGGCCCCCCATAAACACATTTAAAGCACTAATAGGAAACTTAATATTGAGTGCTTGCCTTTTACTCTTAAAAGCACTTAACATGCATTAACTAATTAATCCTTACAAAAACGCTATGCAGTAAATACAATTACTGTCCTTATTTTACAGGTGAGAAAACTGAGACACAGCCAGTGGAGTGACCCAGAAAATCTGGCTCCAGAGCTCATGGTCTACACTTAACCACTACATGTGTATCCCCTTTCACATTAATTTTTGGGGGCTCAAGAGGAGGCAGCCAAAGCCTTGCTTTCTTTTTGACAAAGCAGGGGGGAAGTGACTCCTCACACAGTTCACTGAATAGGAGGTGGAATAAAGAACTCAAACCTCAAACTCCTACCTTCCCTAAATTAACTCATTGCTCAACACACTACGTGACCAGCTGCGTTCCTAAAAAAGTATTAAGAGATTTTTATTAGATTGATTTAACATGCCATATTCTTTATATTCTCTCAGGATCTAATTTAAAATTTCAACATTCTGGATTCTCAAGCTTTTTTTTTTTCTTTTCCCCAGGACCAGTTTTCTGGAGGGGATGCTCACACAGAAGGCTGTGTTGTATGGCCTCAAAGTTAGCTCCTTATTTGTTAACAGTTGATGATTTCTTTTCCCAAATTAGAACAAAGAATCTTACAAAACTGGGATAGGATAAAGGGTTAAACACCCTGCAGTCTACATTAGTGGAGCTGAACCATCTTTCATTTGCTTATTGGTTCAAGAAGTTAGGATGAGAATCAACTTAATACTCTTCTCTCTTTTCTGCTTAAGGTTTGTCGGTTTTGAGCTACTTCTTTTTGATTCAGTGGCAAATGCTCTAAGTGCTTTATCTATTATGTTAATCTTCACAGCCCAGAAAAGTAGGTATAATTTCTCTCATTTTACAGATGAGGACACTGATGCTTATAGACGTTACATTATTTGCCCTAGGTCATACAAGTATTAAACCATGTATGAAGTTGGTGCGGCAAGTTGGAGAATTCATGGCATAAAGCTATTTTCTGGAAAATTTCTGATAAATACACGAGTGCAAAAATTTATTAGGGAGAGTATGAGATCCAAGGGCTGTGTAGTTCCCTTTTAATGTGCTACAATTACATCCTCAAGGTGCAATAGTTTGTCTAGATATTTTGGAAATTAAAGGGCAGGACTTTAAGATTTTGAAAAATCCCCTTCAATTTTCTTGTTCTAGGACAGATCTATTTTGGTAATGCCAAAGGATTCTCTTCAATGGGATGACCCATGACTAAGCCAGGAATCGGGAAGCAGTTCACATCACTGGGCGTCTGTACCACTCTTTACCACCCCTCAAGACTAGCCATGAGCATTTTCCATTTTTCGGTGGAATTTCTACTTTCCGCTGTCTGGCTCATTCCTGAGGTAGCGGCTCTTATCTCCTGTCTCCAGCAGCCTACCCTTTTAGACCAGCCTTAACTAGCTAAACGACCCAGTGCTGAAAAGCCTTAGAGAAGTAGCTCTAGGTCCCATGGGCGGAAGCTCCCCACAAAAAGAAAACACTAGATAAGCTCTCTAGTAGCTACTCCATACTATACACGCAACCCCTTCAAACTTCTCCCAGGGTTCTAGAAATTCTCATTCCGTCTAATCTCCTGACTTTCCAACTGCCTAGAGCCGTATCCTCTCCAAATGATGCCACTATGCCTTCCTGCACGATGCAGGCCAAAATTCCCTCTACGGGTATCCAGTAACACCTCAAACGACTCCATACCCAGGGTCCTTCCTTCCTCTGCCTTCCAAACACACGTCGATTCCCTCTCCAGTCTTGGTAGGTCTTTTCTTCCCTCACTCCCTTCGGGACTCTAACTCCCCGCCCTCACGCCTCCGCCTCCATTCTGCCCTAAGGCTCCTTAGCTGGAATTTTGGCTCGAACCCTGGCCAAAGGAGACTTAGCGATCCCAGCCCCTGTTACGGACACCGAGGTGTGAGCGTTCTCCAGCTCCCCTCCTCCTCCACGCCCCTCATACTCACGTGTCACGGGCAAAAGGAGTAGCCAAGGCGCAGAATCCCCGGCTGAATACCTGTCTGGGGCTGGGACACTGGGCCAGCGAGGGGCCAGCCGCAGACCCCGGACCCAGAACTCGTGTTAAAGGTTCCCCAATGCGCCTCGTTGTGCTCCACTCCGGGAACCGGAAACAGGAAGCACCAGGCGTCCTCTGGACAACTGCTCCTCCCACTAGACCCCGCGGCATGTGACCGAAGAACCATTTCGCCCCTTTCCCCTTCCCGGTCTCCTGGCCGATCCCAGACGCTGATTGGCCAGGGTCCTGGCCATGTAGCTCCGCCCCTATTCTATCAACTCCAATCACTATCGAGATTTTCAAGTTGAGTTCCACCTTTTCGGTTCGCCTTTTCTACCAATGGGGTCCCAGAGTCCCGTCCCCGAGCTTCTCCGCTCGCGGAGTCACGCGCGGTCACGCGGGGTCACGCGCAATCACGCGCCCGGCCCGCTCCCCGGTAGGTCCCCCTGAAGAGGGTGCGCGAGGGCGGGCGGCGGAAGCGGAAATGTGGAAAGGGGACCTCGGGCCAGGCCTCAGTGGGAGCTGTAGTTCTCACCCCAGGTCTCTTCCTCTCCGTACTTCCCCAGCTCGTTTGCCGACTGCGAGAGGCGCTGTTTCGCCGTCTGCCGGCCCCGAGTCGCGTTGTCTCCAGGGTCAGCGGCACCTAGAGGATAGTGGACAGCGATTGGGTCGCGGTAGTCCGGGCTTTCTTAACGACACCTTTGTTCTTTATTTCCTTTCTACAGTTTAGTACCTTGGGGTCTTTGTTACCGATACTGTTTTCGTTAACCTTGTCATTCCGGTCATTTTGCGTAAAACACTGCAACCAGCTCTGTTCACCAGAGGTTTCGTGGCATTTTGCGTGATGAGCACTCTGTAACCAATTCTGTTCACTCCATCCTGGCCGCATTTCTGGTGTCCTGGGGAAAGTGCAATTCACTTTTAGGTTTTTCTGTCTTTGCCAAGATCCTTTGCGGTTTCCCTCAGGTCAGTCTTACTCGTCGCTTTTTGAAGTCCTGCGCGTTCCTGGAACTTGGTTCAAGTACTTTTGCTCCTGTGATTTTCTGGATTAACTCTTCCCTAACTGCCCGCTTGTTGCCTCTGCCTGGTTTTAGCCCGATTTCATTCTGCTTTGACTCCTACGTTGCTTTTGTGTGTGTCCCCCCTCTTCGCGGGTAGGGACTGGATTTTGATTTGTCCCTCTCACCAGAGCTAGTACAGTGTTTTGAGTCCAGTAATAACAGAAGCTAATACGTGCATAGTTCTGTGGTGCCGGCACTGTTTTAAGCGCTTTAAATGAGTATTGATTCATTTAATCTTGACACTAACCTTGAATTTTAAAGCTGATGGTGGCTAAGTAACTTACTCTGGGTCCCACAGCTATTAAGTTTCGTTGTCAGTATTCAGGTTCCCTAATTCAGGTGTAAGTTATGTAAGAATGTAGTCTTCAGAGTACAAGCTCTCAAGCAATACTTGATGCTTACTGTATAGGATCCTGCATTTGTTTATTAATTGGTACATTCAATTCAGACAAGGTAGTTACCATGTCGGGGTTGGGTTTGAATGTGTTCTCAAGGAAAAAAAAAAAAAAGGTGAGTTTCTTTCTAATAATAATAATTTGTAATCAGAAAATACAGAGAACGCAGAACAAAAATCCAAAAACCCACCAAGAGGTTTTTCCTTCAGGAATATGTTCTCCATTTCCTTTTTTTTTTTTTTTTAAAAGATTATATATATATATATTTGAGAGAGAGAGCACAGAGGGAGAGGGAGAAGCAGGCTCTCCGCAGAGCAGAGAGCCTGATGTGGGGCTGGATCCCAGGACCCTGAGATCATGACTCCAGTGAAGGCAGACGCCCAACTGACTGAGCCACACAGGTGCCCCTATCCGTTTCCTTTTAAAAAACATTTAATGTCATCAGATACTTCTCCATATCACTAACTTTACAAATAAACTTTTTAACGGTTGCACAGTATTTAGATGTATGGATTGCTCCTTAAGCAATTCCATTAGAGTCAGGTATTTAAGTTATTTCTATTGAATTGCTTTTATCAACTCATTCAACAAATTTTTTTTTTTTTTAAGATTTTATTTATTTATTTGAGACAGAGAGAATGAGAGAGAGAGAGAGCACATGAGAGGGGGGAGGGTCAGAGGGAGAAGCAGGCTCCCCGCCGAGCAGGGAGCCCGATGCGGGACTCGATCCCGGGACTCCAGGATCATGACCTGAGCCGAAGGCAGTTGCTTAACCAACTGAGCCACCCAGGCGCCCTCATTCAACAAATATTTACTGAACAATTACACTGTTGCAGATTTTGGGGGATGCATCAGAGGAAAAAAAGACAAAAATCCCTTTCACAATGAGCTTTCATTCTAGAATTGATGTTCGTTTGTTGGTGAATTCAAATTTTAACTTCAGAAATGTTGCTTCTTGGTCATTGCCTAGAGTAGCATTGGGCTGGAGGGAAGGTAGGGTGCATGTTGGAAGTGGTGAAAGGTCCAGCAATGCAGTTGAGTAGGATGAATAACTTACGTAGTAGGAGTGAGAAGGAGGGAGAGACTTCCCTTTCCATCCACTTACAAATAACCTGGGTTACTTCCCTGCTTTTCAGCCTTTAGTGCCCATTGTGGAAACTCTGTGCCAGGGACAAAAACTGAAATTAGCGGGTTTTTTTTGCCTTTCTGCTCTGCGTCTCTCTAGCCATATCATTAATAAGGACATCCTCCACATTGTACCCACACCCCCTTCCGCAAATACAGTTGCTCACTTTGTTTGGAAAGCAGTTCTGTGACTTTTGTTCTAAAATCAAATGCTGAGGATCCCTCCTGTTTAGTATAAGCGGAGGAGGGGAAGGTGCTTGAAAGATCTAGTCTCCCCCCCCCTTTCGTTCACGGGAGATATATTCCAAGACCCTTAGAAACCATGAACAGGGGGCGCCTGGGTGGCTCAGTCGTTAAGCGTCTGCCTTTGGCTCAGGTCATGATCCCAGGGTCCTGGGATCGAGCCCCGCATCGGGCTCCCTGCTAGGCCAGGAGCCTGCTTCTCCCTCTCCCGCTCCCCCTGCTTGTGTTCCCTTTCTAGCTGTCTCTCTCTGTCAAATAAATAACTAATCTTTAAAAAAAAAAAAGAAACCACGAACAGTACTGAACTCTATATATACTATATATTTTTCTTACACATAACCTATGATAAAGGTTAATTTATGAGGCACAGTAAGATTAACAACAATGATAATAAAATAGAACAGTTATAACAACATGTGAATATGGTTGCTGTCAAAATATCTAACTGTGCTGTACTCACCCTTCTTGTGATGGTGTGGGATGATATGCCCACATGATGAAACGAAGTGAGGTGAAGGACATAGGTATTGTGATTTAACGTTAGGTTGCTATTGACAGATAAGTCAGAAAGAGGATCATCTGCTTCCAGGATGTGGTTGACCTTGAGTAACTGAAATTATAGAAAGTGAAACTGTGGGTAGCGCAGACTACTGTATCCTGAATTTTTCCTTCAGTTCGTTGCTTTGATAATTTTCCCGGATCTGCTTTTTTTGTTAACTCTGAGCTGGGAGCTTGGTTGGGAATGGCTTTTTAAACCTCTCAGCAGCTTCCTTCTGTATGAGTTTTGTGTTACAGGTTTTGCTCTGGTTTCACTATCAAATCCTCCCTGTTTATAGTTTCTGATCTGCTCAGGGATCTTTTGAAATTTGTTTGGTAGTTTCTTAATCCTGTTATGCATGTATTCAATTTGCTATCTTGAACCCGATTTCAGTTTTGAATTTTTATTTTTTTAAATATTTTATTTATTTGATTTGACAGAGAGAGGGAGATAGGGAGAGCAGGACCACAAGCAGGGGGAATGGGAGAGGGAGAAGCAGGCTTCCTGCCGGGCAGGGAGCCCGATGTGGGACTCGATTCCAGGACCCTGGGATCATGCCCTGAGCCGAAGGCAGACGCTTAACGACTGAGCCACCCAGGCGCCCCAGTTTTGAATTTTTATTGATGCTTTCCTTTTAAGATGTTTAACATATTTCAAGGACTAAATATATTTTTTGTTTTTGGTAATTTTCAATTTTAATATAATTTAACATTTTTAGAATAGATGCAAGAATAGTAAAAAGAACTCTTGTATTCACTTTACCTGGATTTGCCAGTGGTTTACAAGTTGCCCCATTTGCTTTATTAGTCTCCCCTCTTCCTGTACGTACACACACACACACACGCACTCACGCACTAGTTTATTTTGAACAATTTGAAAGTTGCCCATTACTGTTAAGTATATTTGTATTTCCCAAGAATAAAGACATTCTCTTACCTTACCACAGTATAATCATGACAATTAGAAACTGTAACATTGGTAGAATATTAATTACCTAATCCATGGTCCATATACAGATTTCATTAATCGTCCCAGTAAATATGCTTTATAATTATTTCCCATTCCCCAACCACAGAAGCCAAGCAGGAGTCACACATTGCAGTTGTCATTTTTCTTTATCTTGTTTGTCCTTGAAATTTTGAAAAGTACAGGTCACTTAATTTGTAGAATGTCTCTCATTTTGGGTTTGTCTGATACTTCCTCATGGTTATATTTAGGTATTTTGATAGGACTAAAAGAGAAGTGATGTGTCCTTGTATCAGTCAGGATCCAATTAGAAGACAGATACCACACCAGTGATTTTAAGGAAAAATTTAATATAGACTTGTTTTCTAGTAAAAAATAAGTACTAAGAGGGGGTAAACAAGGACTCTACGTTATACAGAAGTTACACAGAAATAATAACTACAAAATGCAGCTACCACCTCTGGGCTGAAGAAGAGTTAGCAAGGAAGTACCTTAGAAACTTGAAGGAAGTGCTCCCTTCCCCAGCCGCAAGGTAGAGATTCAGACCTGTGAAGAGAGGGTGTAGTTCCTGCCACAGGAACATGCAGCCCACTGATGAGGAAACAGATAAATTGCTGGAGGCTGTGGGTTGATGTTGAACTGCCAGTGGGAGCCTCCCTTTGTCATTTTGACATGTCCCCATCATTTTTTGAGCAAATTCTTTACTATGTTCCATGTTTATCTTGTATTTTAATTACCCTAGAATCAGTCATTTCTCCAAGGGAGTCTTGTTCCTTTTAGTGAAGAGTGGTGTTGAGAAACCAAGGTCTGATTACAAGGTGTGTTTGTTGCTACTTTTGGGTCACTGCTTTAATGCCTCTTAGCAGAGTTAGGAAATCTGTATATTTTTTCAAGAGTGAGAAACCAGGCTCCCATTATACTCAATATATTTATATATTTGTTCACACATAAGAAAACACAGGAAGTAGATTTATAACTGATAAACCATACCATTGTGTAAAGCAAACGTACTAATTAGAGTTCAGTATTTGTTTAAAGTTTCATTTTTTTTGATGAGGTAAAATTTATAAATAATGAAATACATGACCCTTAAGTATACAATTCAATGAATCTTAACAATGCATCATAACTGTAACTACCCTGTAATCAAGTTTTAGTAGATTTTCATCACCCAAGAATATTTCCTCATGTCCCTTTCTAGTCCTGTCTAGTATTTTCATTACAGTGTTGCATAGAAATGATAAAATTAGACATCCTTGCTTCGCTCCTGGATAAACCACACTTTGTAATGATGAATTGTCTCTTACATTTTTCTGATTCTGATTTGCTGATCTTTTTCAAAGATCTTGATGTCTATATTCATTAATGTTGGAGTCTAATTTTTTTTTTAAATTTTATTTATTTATTTGTCAGGGAGAGAGAGAGAGCACGGGAGAGCACAAGCAGGGGGAGCTGCAGGCAGAGGGAGAAGCAGGCTCCCCGCTGAGCAAGGAGCCCCTACATAGGACTCAATCCCAGGACCCTGGGATCATGACCTGAGCCAAAGGCAGACGCTTAACCCACTGAGCCACTCAGGCGTCCCTAATTTTTTTTTCCTTGTAGTTCTTTGTCAGTTTTGTATCAGAGTCATGATGGCTGCCTAAAAAAAGTTGGAGAGTATATTTTCATTTTCTATTTTCTGAAGGAATTGTGTTATTTATTCCTTGAAGTTTGATAGAATATGCTACTGAAGTCATCTGAGCATGAAGCTTTCTTAATGAGAAGGTTTGTATTAAGAAATTCAGTTTCTTTAGTAGAGCTATTTAAAAATTTCTGTTTCTTCTTGTGTCAGTGGTAAATTTTTTTTTTTTTTTTTTAGGAATTATCTATACATTTCATTTGTTTGAACCCTTTACAAATACAAAGAATTAAAAGTCAAATACCTTTTCATTTGCTAATATTAATTATCATTGAGACATTATCCTATAAAGTCTATTGTTATCTGTTTATATTCCCTACAGACTTTTTAAAAAAATTCAATTAACATATAATGCATTATTGGTTTCAGAGGTAGAGGTTAGTGATTCATCAGTCTTAAATAATATGCAGTGTTTGTCAAATAATTTTTCTATTTTATCTGAATTGTTAAATTTTTGGCATACAGATATAATATTCCTTTATTATCCTTTTTATGTCTTTAAAATCTGTAGTAATGTACTCACTTCATTCTTGATATTCATAATTTGTCTTCTCTCTTTGTTTCTTGGTAAGTTTTGTTAGAAGTTTATCAATCTTATCAAATAACCAAATTTTTATTTTGTTAATTGGAAAAGGAAAAAA